CATGGCCTGGAGAGCTATTCTGATGAGTGATGCGTACATCTTGCAGGAAGTGAGGCGCTGTCGCGATTGAGTGCACAGGTAAAATTGCCATCAGATTATTGCCCTTATGAATTTCTGGATTATCCTGTACACTAAGATGTCTGGGATCAGCTGTGGTCGTGTCGGCTGTCAGTTCCCCATCAAATCGGATAGAATCGTGTGCTGCGAGTGCTCCACCGCCTTCCATCCAGAGTGCTCCGATCTTTGTCCAGAGGACTACGCCACTAAATGTGGTAAGGGTGACTGGTACTGTGCCATCTGTACCGCCGCCACGACTCCAATCGGCGACTGTGCGATTGGTGTTGCCACTGCGAAGCGTACTGACGCCGCTCCTCCTCCCCACTTATTGCCCATCTCCTACGTAACCAGCAATCCTAACAAGCTGCGTGAAACCATGGAAATTCTTGGCAAGGAGTACGTGGGAATGGTTAGTTCCTTCGATCCATTTGAGTGAAAGAGTTAATTTGGAGCATTGTTTTCTTCACCGTGGAATTGGTAATGCAGCTGAGGCAGGTGGATGTGGAGTTGGCGGAGTACCAAGGCAGCAGTGCGGAGGAGATTGCTCGTGTGAAATGTGAGCAGGCTGCGAGGATGGTTGGTGGAGCGGTGTTGGTGGAAGACACGTGCCTTGCCTTTGACGCCCTGAAGGGCCTTCCTGGTCCCTACATCAAGTGGTTTTTGAGGGCTGTTGGACCTGAGGGTAGGTGTCGGACGTTTAGATGCACTGTATTCACTTCCTACTCTTCTGCCCTATGCGCTTTGCCTTAAGAATTAGGTGTGTGGCTGGAGGTGGACATTTGCTAGGGTGATTTTATGAAAGAATGTCATTACGAGGCCGAGGCTAAGGCTGAGGCTGTGGGTGAGGCTGAGTGAAAGACGTGTGAGAATAAGAGTAGGTTGTGTTTGTGCTCTTTTGCTTGGTCAGAAAGTTGAGTTTGGTGTGAATTGCACAAAGCTGTCGGTTTGTATTGTTCACCACTTTTATCTGAGGGGTTCATGAAGTAGGATACGAAGTGTTTGGTTTGCTAACTAATGAGGTGCATTTTCGATAACTTTGAACAGGTCAGTTGTGAGGAATCCACGAGAGAGACGAATGAATGCATAGGTATTTTGTCTTGGTAAATACAGGTGCGAATTTGGCGCAAGGAAGAAGGATTAGGTGAGGAGAGACTAACAATGGAAGGTCTTCGTCTTGCTATTTGGTAGTGTGTGAAGTTTTTTGGTCTTTGCTTGCATGTGCAGGTTTAAGGAAGATGGTGGAGGGCTTCAGGAGCGCGGATGATGGAGAGGTATGTGATGGGGCCTCCGCAATTTGCACGTTTGCGTACACGTGTGGAGTTGAGGGGGAGCCAGTAGAGGTGTTGCAGGACGTCACCCGTGGTCGCATTGTAGCACCACGTGGGTGCGGCGGCTCTGGATGGGATTGCTGCTTTGCACC